ATTGTAAATATCGAAGATTGGTATATGGACAAGGATACATATCTAAACAAGAGGGCATTGAGATAAATATTTGAGTAATTTGTAACAAAGGAAATACCGTACCCAAATGTGTGAATACGAAGATGTGGATTTGGTTGAAACAAGAATGTCATAGGAAATAATTTGAAGGAATGCAGAATTAATTGAATGAGTCATGATATTAGGAACATTTGTTTACAATAAGAAATTTATTTGATTATTTGTTTGTATGGTTGAAGTTTAGCGAATCGAAATTCGCGACAGTGAATGCCCCAGTTACCGGAAAAGTGACAGCAAAAGAAATAACGTAAAACATAATATTTATTTTTTGAACGAATAAATTTTAGAATATTGCTTCGTGCTAATTTGTCACGCTATTATGCTATCCAACACTGTATAAATAATAATGATAATGACAATGATAATAATAATAGTAATAATAGTAGTAACAATAATAACAATAATAATAATGCAGATTTTAACTCCTTTCAAAAGACATTAAAATTATTGTATATGTCTGACCATTAACGTTCTCTAATCACTGTAGAATTATATGTTGTTGCTCCACTGTAAAATAATCTTCGGATAACCTTTTATTGCTCCTGTAGAAAAATGTTATCCACAAATAATTGCCATGAGTAAAATGCAAGCAGCAAAAGACGATAACACTCTGGGAATAGTAAATATAAAGCGAATACCGAAATGATTGAGCAGTGATATAAGCGGAAAATTAGCAACCAAAGCAGCTGCGGCAACTGTTGCTGTTAAGTAAGTATGCTGTTCAGGGGTAGACAACGGCGATTCACGCGTCCTAACATTGTTGAGGCTGAACTTGTTTCCGTTTTGAGATTGTTGTGAACTTGAATTGAACGTGGAATTGGATTGCCTGGTTTAGTTTGAGTTGATTTATTTGTTGGTTGATTGGCTGGTTGGTTGTTTGTTGATTGGTTTGTCGGTTGATTGATTTGTTGGCTGACTGCTCGGTTGATAGATTGGTTAGTTGGCTGATTGTTTGGTTTGTTGGTCGCCAGACTCCTCGGCAGGTTGCTTGATGATCAGACTGACTCCTCACCTCCAATCCGGTTCTTTTATATCCTAGACATTTGCAAGGAGGAACTTACAATGAACGGAATTCCCATGCAAGGATAAGGATATGGTTCACCAAAAATGGTAATTCACATGACAAGGAACGTACTTGTGAGAAGAAAACGGTTCTATAATCTGAAAGCGGCTAAACATGATGGGAACGTTTAGATTAGTTATTTAGAGCAAAAATAATTGAAATAAAGATTAAAGTGCGAATTAAGTTTGAGAATGTGAAAATTAACGGAAACATTNCAAATGATGAATCATTAAGAAGAAATCTTTAGTATAATTGTTTGGTTTGGCTATGTGATAGATATTGGATTGAAATTAATTTCGAGAAGTTTCGAGTTTGTTCTCGACAGAGATGGTTGTTTCCAGTGTGGCATTTTCTTCATCATTTTGCATATGATTACAAAATTAAATGCTATTACATTGGATCATAATACCTTGCAATATTAATACCAGTAAAATTAACCTGAAATAGTTGTTGAAGGTGACACAGACAAAGGGAAAAAATGAATGAAATAATCCTTCATGACTTGTGAAGCTAAACCATATAGAGTTACAATCCAAGTTATTAGTATCTCAACCTCCTACGTTTTGCTTTTGATATTATTTTAATATGACTTGATTCTAAGTATAACCACGTTAGATCCATTTTGCTTGCTCTATTTGCTTTTTTCCATTTATCGATATTGATGTTTCACATATACAGCCCTAATTCTTGTTTTTAGAAATTTAAAATATTTTTAATACTTATATGAGAAAGTTCCAAACAGCCAAGAATAGAATTACCTTCTTCTCTCGACTGCACAGTTTGTCTTTCCTTACACATACTGATGTCGGCATATTCCTTGATATTGTTGGATGATATAGGATATATGATGTTAGCTATGTTTGGTATATTTTTCGTGCTTAGTTCGTTATTATTATCCATCATTGCACAACAATTTTCTTAAATATGTGACAGATGTACGCATGTATTTTGTAGTTTGAAACGAAAAAACGTAAACATAATTTAATTGACTTTAAAAGCTCGAGAAAGTCAATAAATAGTCTAAACTATAATTTAATGAAATATAGTTTGAGATGATTAACCTCTCTGAAAGACAACTGAAAATTTGAAATACGTATATGAGTTTCATGCTTAAAAGATGATACTTTATGAATGTTAAAAACAGAGAAGTGTCTATAATGCTGGATCATTTCATACGTTTTCAAAAAATAAACATTATATTAGCGTTCTTTTTAAATTTCAATTAAAAAATTTTCTGGATTATTTGTCTAACGTATGGAGCTTAACGAGTCAAGGGTTGATGAAGTGAATACATTGAAAAATTGTTAAAAAGCGTAATTCAGTAAATAAATGACCAGTAGCTAACCGAAGAATGGACTGAGGAAAAATGGTTAAGCGATCAGCACTGATAGAGGTGATGTTTCACAATGCTACCATATAAAAATATTAAGTCTCATTGAGAAATGAAGCAGCGATAGCCATTTGAAAATTATAGCATTCAAACTTCCTCCAATCACAAATTGATATCATTTAAAATGAAATTCTGACAAAATAAGTCAAATATGAAAATCTGTGTCATGAACTCATCATGATTTTTGATCCTTATAAGTGGTTTTTTGAACAAAAGCCGGTGAAGAAAAGTACAAGAATTTTGCTTGTTCGTTCTTTTTTTCATTTCACTTTTGTTCATTCCTTCATTTTTGGTTCAATTTGTTCAATTTAAAATTGTAAACAAATTTTTTTTGCTTCGACATATATTTTAATGGAGTAGTATGACGATAATTCCGATTCTGCGATTCTGTGTAAAAATTTGTCAACATGTTTAATGCGTACGAACACGTGACATGTTTGATTGTAAAAAGAAGCAAAACGAATGAACATCGACCAGTGAAATTTGTGACAGAAACTGGAAACTGCCAGCAATTTTTCGATGAAATAAAAAATCAGTAATTTGTGTCATTTGGAAAGGATTTAGATTTTAAAATAATCCGAAACAATGCCCATCAAGCTGAAGTTAAATTAAGTAATGTGTTATGCTGCACTTGTCACATTCTATTTCAAAATTATTCATCATTGAACAGGTTAGGCCTGAAGAACAAAATGTGCTAAATTAATGAAATTAATTTGAATTTTTTAGAAAATGAATAAAATTTTGATCTTTTTGATTCCATTTGATCAAAACTTTTCTTAAAAAAAATTTTTTTTTAATTTTCTAAAAAATGAGTAAAATTTTGATCATTTTGATCAGATGAATCAAAAATTCTACCCTCGGCATACTTGAAATGAGCAATTATATATTGAATTCAAAGTGATTATAATTCATTTTATGCTTTCCATATCACGAATTTTTTTAATAATCAAAACCAGTGAATGCAATTCTTTCTACTTTGGTCTAAAACTCTTCAAATTTATAAAAGTAATATTAGGATGAAAAATTCATAGAATAGAAAAACTATCTTTGTCCTCGAAATTTTGAAATTTAAATTTATTGACAGTCGATACCGGTTTCTTATTATCGGGAAAAGCACTCAAGCATTATCATGTTGAAATTATTAACATTTGAGAAAGATTATTGCAAGAACAAAGTTTATTTCGAGTTTATGTAACTAAATAAGATAGGAAATCACTCTTCTCAAGGATGGTCAGTGGTTTTTAAAAGTTCAGGAATATTTTGAGCTTTGTCACCATTCATACTAACAATCATAATTATTTTTATTCATCACTACCCCTTCATAATTGTAGCGGCAAATTGCATCTTACTAATTAAAGAAAATACTAACATCTCTTTACTTAATTACCGGTATCAAACACTGTTTGTAGATCTCCTGATCAGCACATATATTTTATGCAAATGAATTATCATGCATTTATGCCCTTATTGAATATCTTTTCGGTTAACAATCAAACCACGTCTTCCGAATTTATTTTCATTCATAAGTTACTGTTTCCAACAATTTAGTGATCTTAATTTATACAATCGACTTTTGATTATTTAATTCTAGCATATTATTTTATATATCGGATAAGTTAAATGCCAAATCTGTCATCATTAAGTCGTTCATTAATTGTTATTCGTTTATGACTGAAAAACAATACACAATGTTTGAAATAAAGTATTGAAATTTTTTTGGACTCAAGAGTATCTTCTAATTTCTTCATTTTCTCCGAGTTCATCTGAACATTATTTGTAAACTTTAATAAAGCCATCTGAATTACACTGACAGATATCGTTATCATTTCAAATTTATGCTTTTATTTTCCATGCCTCTAAATATTGTCCGCTGTGAATAAATCCAAGTATTGAAAACACATTTTTAATTATTTCGCTTTCTACGCAACAAACTGTACAAATATCTCCAACAGTTCACTGGTCTTCTTTGATCACGAGTGACAATCGGACACACTGCAATCGCAATACTTTCGCTGCGGTTAACGCAGAACAGATTACGAATGCAGGTATTGAGAAAGTATTACAAATTCTTTTAAATTAAAATATGAACTGCTAACTGAAAAGCTCTAATTGAGAAATACAGGAAGAAAGAACAAAAAAGACTAACAAATCAGAGATAGGTTTATGAAAAAGTTATCTGAAAAAATATGAATTAATTAACAAATATAAAGTATAATTCGAAGTGAAAATAATGGTGATGTTGTAAGTATAATAAAATAGAATTTAATACTGTACGTTTTCTGCCAAGAAATCCAAAACTCCACCTTTCAGTTCTACTTTGCTTTCATCGAATTTAAAATGATAATCAATATTATTGTTTGCTCCCTCCACAATTCTCAATTCATTCTGAGATGAGAATCAAACATAGGAATTACAGAAATTATTGTGTAACTGAAACATAAAGTACTGAAACATGAAGTAATAAAACAGTTCTGATAGCAAGTTATCAAACCTTTGTAATAGAACAAAAATTTTACCGCTAATCCTTATTCTCCTTATTGCTTTTTTTCCAATGCAGTTTTTTTCAGCCTGCAGTTTTTTCCAATGGAATAATCTTCGAGTTATCAGACAGTCTCTCCAAAGATTCCTGCTGCTGCGGCAAACTTTGCAAAGTGCGTTGGCATTCCATTAAATTTTCTTCCGAATGCTCCGTAAGTACTGAGAGCCTTCCAGATTGGATGTCTTCGTTCACCATTCTCGATTCTTCCACTAAATTGTCAAATTTATTTCGAATATCTCAAAAATTTTAATCCTCCATTATTTCATTCTAAGATTACTTTCATAGGATTATTACCGGTTTTTTTTGCAAATTCATCATGCCTACAATGATGAACGACTGGAATGAGGCATGAAATCAAACCAGACAATAGTATAATCACACCAGCAAAATAAAATGATGCGTCATATGAGGCGAACATGTCATAAACAATTCCTGCAATTAGTCAAATTTAACATTCAGTTTCAGCAAAACCCAAAGTTTCAAACAATTTACCTGCCAAAGGTGTTCCTAATAATGATGCTATACCTCTGCTGACAACCAACAGACCAAAAGAGTTCGTTAATCGATCCAAACCTAATTGATCCACCAACACGATTGATGTAAGAGAAATATATGCAGCTAAAAGAAACTTTCCAACAAACATTCAAATAATGAAGTTTAAAATGCCTTGACTGCATGCTTTGAAAATGCGGGATTTTAAAATGTCGAAGAGGCGCATGCCACTACATATCGTGAAAACAATTGGTCATTTTTTTGGATTACAATAAAGAATTAATTAAACGCTTTCTTAAATATCGAGAATTTTGCACAAAATGACCACTTATAGCAGAATACTGCTACTACAAAGTTTATTAATTTAACGGAACTAACAGATTATGAATCCAAATAAAACAGAGTAAATTAAGAGACCCCCATAACCAGGAAGCAGTGGACATAAACAGGTAAGTACACCACATCCAAGTAATGCAAAATTATTAATCGTTAATGCTGACAGCCAACCACGATCCGCTAACCAACCGAATGCTATTCGACCTGCAATTAGTTTACTTTAATTCTGTTCTACGACAATATTACGACGGATGTGAAATCCATTTTACATCCATTTAGTGGATCCATTTAATTTTACATCTATTTAATGATAACTTATTGACTTTAACTCATTTAGTGAGTTAAAGACATCACTTACAACATAGTATCTATGATGTCAAATGAACAGCAAGATTTGTAGAAGTCAAGCAAATCAAGATGGTTCAATTCACTGAACCTTAATTCCGCGCAATGAACAACTGCTGTAATATTTCTTCAAGCTTCTAAAAATGCCTATTATCTAGTTTTGCTCTTCCTTATACATGATAAACAAAAGGCATTACCAAAAAGTGAAAACAGAAATCCTAAAAGTAATGCTTAAATTGCAAAAAAGCACTGTCATTACCTTTTTTGAATCCTGCATCTTCTTGTACAAATTAAAATCCAAAACTGGAAAATTAGTGACAAAAAAGAAAAGAAAAACGAACCAATGGTATTGGTAATGCCTATTACTGATAACAGTAATGAACCGCTGCCTTTAGTATGCCCTTTTGCAACGGCCATATCAATGAGAAACATGAAAGGCACATAAAATCCAAGCATGCCACATAAATTTGATATGCAAAGCAAGAACATCGCTGGTTCTTTCAGCAACGAAATATCAATCATTTCATTTATAATATTAAGAATCCTTATTGGAATCCATTTGCACCTCCTGAAAATCATTTGCATCAAAAAGCATTTGATACACAGCACTCACTTTTATGATTCAGTAGCTCAGTCTCCCATATTCCTTCAAACTATATAAAAATATCTCAAGAAATTTGAAATATTTGTTCGTATTGGTTTTTAGATTTCATCTGATTATACCTTACACTCATACTTGAGCTTTCAGTGAATGCAAAGATTGAGAAACCTTTTTTCCATTACTAATTTACTAAATAATTAAACATTTTATATTGTAAGAGATGGTGATCATTGGGTGGTCAAAAAATTTTCCTTAAGATTCTACTATTTATTCCACATATTTTCAATATGCGATTGTAGATATTTCAGCGTATTGTTATTTTCAGTTCCTCGTAAAGTGGCAAGTAAGACACTTTGCGAAAGAGAAAAATAAGATAACGCTGTTTAACCAAATCGCATCCATGCAGCGCGATTATCTCTAACCTGTCAGCATAATAATCAATAAGTTCATCCAGCTGTTCGTCTTGTACTCCAGCGGTTTCATAATTACTACCTAATTTATTATCTTCCGCTTGTGATACGCTGGCGATTGCTTGGACAACGGCTGATGCAGAGATCGAGATTTGTGATTCTCTGTATGATTGGTAATTGCTACCTATAAAACGAGGATTTGGTTTTACATAAATTAAAATTAATGTATGATCATGAATTTCAATATACTTGAATATAAAAGGACATCAACTTTGAGCTACGGTAAATACGATACCTTCAGATTTAAATTCAGGCAAATTTCGAATTGAACCAGAATAAAATATATCTCGTCGGCTTAGTGGCTTATTGAATTCTTTGGAAGTAACACTACTCTGAAAAATTTTCACAAGTTTATGAAATGTGGAACAGCATTCTTTAAAGGGTGAAAAAAAAACAACTAACCGCAATAGATAACAGTGATTCAGCACCTTTCATTTGCGACGACTGTGACAATAGGCCTGTCGAGTATGCGAAACTACGTACTGATATCCTGTTTAACGCATTAGCTAAATGGCCATGACTTGTTTTTAGATCATTTACCGACGCCGTCTTCTTATTTACACTGTAAGCATACAGTTCATAACAACATATAATTACTATCATCCCGTTATGATGCATTTCAACTGTTAACTTTAACTTTTGAGCACTTCTAAAAAATGAGATGAAGCAATTTTTTATCAAAGGTTCCTTACTAATATTTTAATCCTAAAAGTTCTTGAGTGTGTATAATATATTTCAGAATGCCAATGTACTGCAAACACTAATGTTGCGAAAAGTTTACACATTGGAAAGAATTATTCCTGACCATCGACACAACTTCATTCACTAAAGATTGTATTAGCATTGCTTAAACAAAGTATATCGTATTGAAGAATGGATTTTGGATTGAGTCCTTTATACAACTAAATGAACGGTATGTCTTGCCACTTCATGAACCTTGTTTCCGGATTTCTTTTTGTTTTCGCTGCCAGCTTTTCACTTGAATCATTACGTATACCACGATTTTTGTCAGTCATATTCTCAGCAACCGGTGTCAATGGAGTCATCTCATCAAATCCATGTGTTTCATATTCATCCGATCTTTTGCGTAATCGTCTGATCTTTTGGAGCTGATTTTCGTCTATTGTATTATCTGCAAACATTTTGGAAACTAGAAGAAGTCGATTCAAAGTGATAATGATTAGTATCAACAACGATTACTGTAATAGTCCCGAAAAAAATTTTAAATAATTTGCTAAAATAACGATTATCCAGGCACAGGAGTACAAAATGTCTAATCTGACCTTCACTATCTTCACCATTTGGTTTCCATCCTTTCTCCTTCGATTTCAGAAGCTACAATAAATTAATATAAAAAATTATTCACATGAAATTTTCATTTTACTTTATCCTTATTTGAATTAACAAATTAAAATAAATTATATATGTCTTTATATACAAACCAGTTCTTCTACATCAGCATTCGCTTTCTCCTCCTCTTTTTTAATCGCTGGTGTTTGCAGTGGTCGGTACAGTAATCCATAAATGATACTCGAAAAACTTAAAGTAGCGAGTGAACAGATAGCAATTTTCCATCCAAATTCTGGAATTTTCCATTTCAATCATATTTCATAGCCTACAAAAAAATATTCGAATACCCATTCTTCTGTATCGCAAAATCATTATCATTCTGCTTGTCGCGAAAGTAGCGAAAATTAAAATAAATTTTATACAAATTAAAGGAATGCTTTCTATGACTCATTAGTTATCTCATTTTGTTATCTGTCTGATTTACATTTCTTAGATTTATTTCCCATCAAATTCCAATGTGTCTTTTTTTGGTGTTTTTTGCCCATATCTTGTGTTTTGGTTATACAGGAAATTCATTTTCTGGCAATCATTTAGAATGTTCATCTAAAATCTCATCCTTATCTTCTCATTGAATCTTATTACAATACTTATGTGTAATTGGGTCTTAACAGTTTCCGCTGGAAACCACTCCTATTTCTAGCACATATAAGCCCGGCTGGAT